AAGGGACCAGTTCAAGGTCCATGTCAGCGAGTTCGGAACTCAGACCGCGCCATTGAGGCGTCATTGGAAAGGGTTTACCGAATTGCCAATCAAGCAGCTCTACATGTATGATCATCAAGGTAATGCCATTGCGAGCTTATCAGATCTAGGTAAAGAGTTGTGGGAAAAGGTGAAAGACCCCTTGTCGAGATGTTCGGATGATGAGGTTGAAAGGTTCTTGTCATCAGTTCAAGAGGGGGTACTTGAATATAGCAGGAAGGTTCCAAAGCAAACCGAAGAGTCCAAGTTCGACGCGAAGGCCGATTCGTGCAAAGTGTGGTTTGGTGGTAGATGGATTGTACTCCGAAAGCCATCAAGAGCGACTTCAGATATAGGTGAAGGTCCATTAGATGTGGATGCTACGTTCGAGGGAATGCACACCGAGGTCATTGCCCTAGAAAAGCACAGGACAGGTCAGGTCGTGAATAAGGATGAAGCGCAAGAGTATTGCAAGATGCATGGTATCCGAATCATCTCAACTCGATGGGTAGTTGTGAATAAGCATGATGCTATCAAAGGAGACATCGTTCGATCGAGACTTGTTGTCCGTGATTTCGCCACAGGTCCGTCAGCAGCCGAGTTGGGCGTTTCAAGCCCTACAGCGTCGTCAGAGGCGTTGAAGGTTGTGTTGTCTTATCTTGCTCAGAAATCAAGTTTTCGAAAGAAATCAAAGAGAGGAGGAGTTGGGCATGGGTTTTAGATGTAAGTACAGCATTCTTGCATGCCCCCGTGATTCACCCAGCGGTCGTGTCATTGCCGACTGGGATGGAAGATGAAGAAGGGGAGCCTTTGTTCGTCATTCTTGAGAAAGCGATGAACGGACTTCGTTCTGCAGGAATGTCATGGTATCGTCACCTAGCCGACTTGTTAGATCAAGAAGGTTTGACAGCATGTGTGACGGAAAAGACCATCTTCGCCGGAAGATACAGAAAAGGAGTTGCAGAGACGGAGGAGGAGAATCACTTGATCGTTTTGATGTATGTTGATGATTTGTTGGTTGTCGGAGACGATCGGAATATTCAGAAGCTCGTTGATGAGTTATCGAAGAAGCTTAGACTGAAAGTCACCGGAAAGCTTGAAGAAGACAGAATTCGTTTTCTGGGAAAGGTGATCGAAAAGGAAGAAGATGGAACGATTGCCTTGTACATGGAGAAGGAGTACTATGAAGGTATGATGAACTTGTATCCAGGAGGAAAGGAAAGTCAAGCGACCCCCAATTTGTTTCAGCTTTATGATCGTGACCGGGAAGAAGATCGGAAGTCGTTATCGCCCGAGGCAGCAGCAACTTTTCGAACCGCACTAGGTAAACTAGGTTGGGTAGCTCAGTCGAGGCCTGATCTTTGTTGGTTGTGTTCGATGCTTGCTCGAGGTCAATCTCAGCCGCTAGCTGTACACGAGAATGCGGCGCGTGCGAGTATCCGTTACATCCGATCAGTAGCCGATCGAAAGTTGAAATTCAGAAGCTATGAGTATTCAGGACCACCAAGGATTACGACCTATGTCGATGCCAGTTGGGCAGCCGAAAAGTCCACAAATAGGAAGAGTACTTCAGGAGCAGCCATCTTCGTTAGTGACTGTTGTGTCAAAGCATTCAGTAGGTTGCAGCAGAGTGTAGCCTGTAGTTCAGCCGAGGCAGAGCTATATGCTTTGTTCGAGGGAGCGAAAGAGACTATAGGTATTCAACATGCCGTGGCACACGTCTATTAGGATGTCAAGCTGATGAACTGCCCATTCCAGGTTTGCTTACGGATTCGATGGCAGCCCGAAATGTCACAGAAATGTCAGGGTTGTTGAGAAGATTGAGACATATAGACATTCGGATCTGTTTTTTGCAAGATGCAGTCTACAAGGGAGTGATTTCCATCAGCTTTGTCCGAGGCACCGAGAATTGTGCCGACTTGATGACCAAGGCATTGTCGGTGACTTTATGGAGACGATCGGAGTTATCAGAGCATTTCTCATTTCATTCGAAGTGCCGTATGACTGGATCGGGAGATGGTTGTGGGTTATGGATAAGGTCACATGCACCGAAATCCTGATTGTTGAGTTTTGCACATCGCCGGAGTCCGAGATGAAAGAAGTCGGAAGCCGTACGGAAGGTGTTGAAGTCTTGACTGTCACTGAGGCGGATGACGGAACCCGATCGGACACGATCGAGTCAGTTCGGGAGCAGATGATGAGCCATCGGAAGAGAGGAAAGCTTGTTGTCTTGTGGTCGTCAATTCCGTGTACCGGAGGATGTCCGTTTCAGTATATTTGCATCAAGAAGTTTGGTCAGGACTATATGGGTCATCTTCGAGAATTGTACCAGATTCAGAAGAAGCTATGGAAAGGTTTCTTACGCATGTCGGAAGTAGCCGATTTCGTAGCGATTGAATGGCCGAAGAGATGTGCTTATTGGGGATGGAATCAGACTAGAGATTTTCTGAGGAAACGAAAGACGTTTTCAACATTTGTGGATGCTTGTTCAGTCAAGTTGAACCAGAAGGGTCAGTTGATCAGAAAGACCTGGAGGATTGAAACAGATAGTACTCGGTTGTTGGAAAGCCTGAAGGTTTGCGTTTGTGATGGTCGTCATGATCATTTGCCGTCCAAGGAAGTCAATTGGAAGGAAACGCAACACTACCCCAGGAGATTTTGCGAGCTAATCCTTAAAGGATTTAAAGCCGAATTAGAGTCATAATAGCCAAGTAAGTCTTGCACGTTGTCTGAGCCGAATGGCACGTTTTTGCGAGCACTTTCGATTGCACATTTCGAAAGAATCTTGGTTTTGCAGACTGTGAGATACAGCTTTTCTTGGAATGAAGCTTATACCATCCGAGGTATGATGCCGGATGTGGAAACGGCGCTTGCGGCGCTGAGCCTGGAAGCAGCGACCGCTTTGGTCTTTGCAGCCGGTTTTCTTTTGGGACGCCTGCTGACCTGCTGCTGCCTACGGTGTCGGAAGCATGCTGAGCCTGAGAGCCAAGTGACTTTTAAAGTCGATATGCCGAAGAGCTATCCAGTTCCAAAAGGCTTTGAGCAATGCTCAAAAGTATATATACCAGTGAGTGGGAGCAAGGTTCATTTGAATCCAACTTGCTCGGGCATGCACGTACCTATGTCGAAAGATATTTGCGCCAAATGTCTGTCCTCACTGAAGAAGAATAAGAAGGCTTAAAGCCAGCCAGTTCGTTTCGAGCTTTGTGTCCAAGAGGGGGTGAAGAAATTCCATGTCGGGATGTCCACCTCGCTCGATGCTTGCAGTTTGCGATGCATAAATTTGTTTAAGTTTGTTTGTGAAAGATTTGGAACCTGGCGGTAGTACAACATTTTGTTTCTTAATTGTTTGAAAGCGACTTGTAGCGTAGTCGGAAGTTTTGAAAGAGTTCTTTGTATGTGGAGACACTTAAGAGACTTTTAATATGTTTTTCGTGTGTTCTTTGTATAGTTCAGTGCTACGGGATATGTTTTGGCTCAAGGCTCAAGGCCAATTCGTTTGGCTAGTGTGAGAAAAGGGTGCGAGTGTCTGAAAGCAGCTTGTGCAGCGTTTGAAGTTTTCCGAAGTATTCGGAGGCTTGAAGGAAAGGTTTCGTACCGTACCGGACGAGTGTGAGAGCGTGTTGTGAGCTAAAGATCCAGAGGAGGTAGGTAGTCTACCGTGTAAGGTTGCTACCCGGAGTTTTTCGCTGTTAGCTTTCGAACAAGGCTGATGTGCCCGCAACCGGACCTGGCGAGGGTGACTCTTCCCCTTGTCTGCATACGAAGGCCACCTTTGAATGGCCTTACAGCAAACTGCATACGTCGAGAATTCGGGCCCACCTAGTTAGTACGACGCTCTCTGTTTCACGCGTCTCACCTTAGTACAGACGAAACTCTGCCACATTGGTTGTTGGGGTCCTTTGGTGCTTGTGCTTTTGGGGTCGGTTTTGGGGTTGGGTTGGTGTGTTTCTTGTTTGTTGCTTCGGGTTGCTTCCCCTACCAATAAGCAGAGTTTCCATCCTTCTTATGATGACCTGGGCACACCGCCCACATGGCGTCCGTACTCGGGGAAAAAGCGTGTGGCACCGCTTTCAGTTCCGTATGCATATCCATAAGTGTGTGTTGTGCATGTCTGTTTGTGCTTGTGTGTTTGTGATGTGCGTTTGTTGCGTGTTTGTGCTGTTTTGTGGCTGTGTGTTTGTGTGTGTGTTGTGATCGTGTGTTTGCAGCGGTGTGTTTGTGATGTGTGTTTGTGATTGGTTGTGTGTTTGTGATTGTGTGCTTGCGGTTGTGTTTGGTTTGTGCTCTGATTTGTGTGGTCGTGGTGGCTTTTGGGGGACGAGAGCCCTCTGCCTACTGGCTAAGGGTCGGCTACGGCCGACTGGGCCATGGCCGACTTCGGCCGGCTACCATCGGCTAAATGGCGTGCTGGGCTGGTCCGCTGTACTCGGCTGTGTTCGGCTGTGTTCGGCTGTGATCGACTGCAGTCCACTGTGGTCTTTTGTAGTCAGCTGTAGTCGGCTGCAAGGCTGTAGTTGGCTGTGCTGGGCTGTATGAAGTTCTTGCGCCCTATCAGCTGGCATAATGGTAAAAACCAAAAATATCGCGTTGTTGTTGTTGTTGTTGGATTTTTAAGAAACGTACCCCTGAGCAACCCCCAAAGGATAGACAGTAAATTTGCGAGTTTTGGTGACAATGACGACAATTCCGCAACGTATGTATGTGTTGTGTTTATCTTTCATTTGATCAACAATTTGCCTTTGGCAAAAGGTTTGTTTCATCAAACCAAACTTTTTGCATGTGATTTGAATGCAAAACTTGATTTCGACAGGGTTGAACATGTCGCTCAGTGCCTATCCAGTGTTCTCTGGTGATTTCAAGCTTAGAATGCTGTTGGTGGGCGTAGCAAAAAATATAAATAGCAACAGACCCAAAAGTGAGTCCAGACAGAAAAACAAAAAACAATGTTAATAGCAATCTGTTCCACAAAAAACCATTGCATTTATCTTTTGCGCGCATTTTCAATATTTTTCTGCAGGATTTCGAGTAGAAGGGCATTTTGAGGATTCGGAGCACCCTGGAACTTCGCCATGGCATTCAGCAATTTGGGAAGCATGAACCTCCCTCGCAAACCAGAAGCAGTGGGGACCGATTTGCTGGAGATTGATTCAGACCTCGAATTGGGCATCGACCAATTGGACACTGGGTTGCTGCCGTGTGGTTTCCCTGAAACTTGAATCCGCTTTAAGTTTTCCTTTTGCAATCAAGCGTTCACCTGGTGGTCGAATGAAAAAAACATGCAATTGATTATTGATTAAGAATCTCAAAAGCAAAGTTTTTACAAACTTCGATATTGTTGGGCTTGTTGCGTGGACACTTGTTGTTCATCAACTGGGTTGACATCATGGAATGCAACAGCTCACTGTAAGGTTGAGTTATGTTTTGTTAATGAACGGGTGAAAACCTCAGACGTCTGGTTCATTTGCGTCAGGAGAGAGAGCCAGCAGAGTTGCTGGAGTCTTTGTGGGATGACTTGTCGTCCGGAGTTGCCGATCGCCATGCGGTCCACACGACCCCTGTTTGGGCAGAGTCGTCGTCCCCACCATCGATCAAGATGGACCAGCATGAGATGTGGACCCTGCTCAAAGACATCAAGAATAATCCGGAGAGGCTGGACATCAAACTGATTGAGACCTTACATTACATTTCTTTCTGAAACCAATATCGGGAGTGTTTTTCGGGGTATGATACAGATACAAGAGAAACAGTTTGGTTGTTAAGCCCACGAAGTTAATGTGTGTAAATTCAGTGCAATGTTGGGTAGCCTTGTAAGCTTCCCGAGGGTTCATGAGTATCCAAAAAGGAACCAGGTGAACCCACCACTTGCTCCTGGATCCTTGTATCCTAACATTTTTGCCCTATCCCGTCCACTTGCAATCACCTGACCCTTTAGGTTCACGGATGAGATTATGCAGAATCGCATTGTGGGCCTTTGATTTGTCTACAAATTAGGGCGCGCTCCGCCCTTGTGCGGATGAGGCCTCCTTAATTTGTCTTGGACAGAAACCACTCAGTAGTCTCCTTGCACGCCAGTGCCCGTTTGAAAGCGAGTGTCGAAGCAGAATCATGCGTTTGGCTGATGACTTCAAATTTGAAGGCAAAAGCTTCGTGACAGGGCACGTCCGTGGCTGTTTAAGTGCCCGGTCATGTCTTGTGTTCGGTCGCCCCTGCTGCTGTATTCCTCTAACCGACATTTGTGAGGGAAGCCTTGAACGAGGTTGCTCTTTGGCTGGAAACGACCGCAATGACTTGCAATCCTTTTGCGGCAACATTGCTTGGCCAGCAATTGTTTGGGCAAAGTCTTAATGCATCTCAACGGTCTCAGAGGGTTTGAGTAAGGTTCCCTGGGATTGTCAGCATACAGTTTTGCGCATTTGTTGGCCAACCTGCTACGAGCTGCCTAGAGCCGGCCAGTAGTCCTTTGTCATTACCATTCCTCCAATCTATGTCAAATGTCCAGGGCAAGGCCACATCTCAAGGTGACAGCCTTCGCCTTCAGTCTTTTCTCATTGCCTTTAGGGCAAAGGGTGCATGCATGCTTTGC